CTGGGTGACACAAAGGCTTAAGCACTTGAGTACAAGCCCACAGGCTGGCAGTTCAAACTCACCCAGAGAGACCTGGGCAGACAGACCTAAAGCTCTACTTCTGCGAGGTAGCAGCCTTGAAACCCGAGTGGAGCTATCCTGTAAACATGGGCTCTCCTGGAACTGGGACTGGCTAGATGGTAACCGACAACACCCTAGACTATGACCCAAATGTCTTAGAGCCTGGTCAGCTCTTCACTATAGCAGGGAGCGGTATGCAAGGCCTTCATTTGAATATGGGCTTCACCAACTGCCCACTTTATAAACAAAATGGAGTGTAGGAATCTCATTGCATTTAGTTTACTCATCATCTATATGGAGGAAATGGTGGGTTTGAGGATTAAATGCGTGCAATGCACTTAGCATAGAGCCTACCCTTCATTAAGCTAATGGGAGTACTTTTTCGGTCTACATTTCCTAAGTTCCTACTGCGTGCCAGGTGTAGTCCGGGGGATTGGAGATATAAAGATGAAAAAGAAATAGACCCTGCCTGCACGCATCTATTCTTAGATGCAGAAAAATGAAAAGGCCAACAAGAACCATGAGCCTTGACTACTTTTTGGAGATGGAAGCCATTTTCTTTCCCCTTGAGATCCTTTACGTCATAAACATGGATTGCTTTGATATAAAAATGACTGATGGTTTCAGTTTATTCTAATAATTGCTGTATTTGATGTATGCATGGGAACAGTAGAAGGAGAACACTATCTTATCAGAAAAGCAGTCACTGTCGGGTTGACTCTGACTCGTGGCAACCCCAGGTGAGTTAGAACAGAACTGTGCTCCCTAGGGATTTCAGTGGCTGATGTTCATGAAGTGAATTAACACACCTTTCTTCGCAGGTGTCTCTGGGAGGTGACAACCTCCAACCCTTTAGTGAGTAACCAAACCTGTTAACCATTTACACCATCTGAGGACGCCATCTCTTTTTTTAAAAATCATTTTATTGGGGGCTCGGTACAGTTCTTATCACAATCCATAGATATATACATTGTGTCAAGCACATTTGTACATTTATTGCCATCATCATTCTCAAAACATTTTCTTTCTACTTGCGGCCTTGGTATCAGCTCATTTTTTCCCCTCCCTCTCTCACAAGCCCTTGATAATTTGTAAATCATTATTATATTGTCATGTCTTACACTGTCCATTGTCTCCCTTAACTCACTTTTCTGTTGTCTATCCCCCAGGGAGAGGGTTATATGTAAATCATTGTGATCGGTTCACCCTTTCTCCCCCACCTTCCCCTTACCCTCCTGGTATTTCTACTCTCATTTTTTATCTTGAGGGATTTATCTGCCCTGGACTCCTGTGTTTCCAGCTCTGATCTGTACCAGTGTACATCCTCTGGTCTACCCGAATTTGTAAGATAGAATTAGGATCATGATAGTCAGGGTGGGGGAGGAAGCATTTAATAACTAGAGGAAAGTTGTATGTTTCATTGGTGCTAAACTGCACCCTGACTAGCTTGTCTCCTTCCCACGACCCTTCTGTGAGAGGATGTCCAGTTGTCTACAGAAGGGCTTTGGGTCTCCACTCCGTACTCCCCCTTATTCACAATGATATGATTTGTTTTGTTCTTTGATGCCTGATACCTGATCCTATGGATGCCTAATAACCTGATCCTCGTGATCACACAGGCTGCTGTGTTTCTTCCATGTGGACTTTGTTGCTTCTCAGCTAGATGGCCACTTGTTTATTTTCAAGCCTTTAAGACCCCAGACGCTATATCTTTTGATAGCCGGGCTCCATCAGCTTTCTTCACACATTTGCTTATGTACCCACTTTGTCTTCAGTGATCGTGTCTGGAAGTGAGCATCATGGAAAGCCAGTTTAATAGAACAAAGTATTCTTGCATTGAGGGAGTACTTGAGTGGAGGTCCAATGTCAATCTGCTACCTTAAAACTAAACCTATGCACATAGATCTATTTCCCCATTGTTAATATAAATATATTTACATATGTTTATGCCTATAGTTAGACCTCTATAAATGCCCTTGGCCTCTTAGTTCCTTCCTCTATTTCCTTTTACTTTCCTCTTGTACCACTATCATGTTCAGCCTTCATCTGGGGTTCAGTAATTCCTCTCAGTTATATTGCCCTTGATCACACCCTACCAGACCTCCTACACCCACTTCCTTTTCCCCGCCTCCCTCTCTCCCATGCTCCCCTAGAACCGTCACTCCTGTTGTTTTCTCCTCTAGATTGTTTATCCGGCCTATCTTATCTAGATAGACTTGCAGAGATAATAACATGCACAAAAAACAAGACAGAACAAAACAAAGCAACAAAAGAAAGCAAAACAACAAACCAGTGACCGAAAAAAAAAGAAACCTGTAAATAGTTCAAGGTCTATTTGTTGACATTTAGGAGTGTTTTTCGGTCGAGTGTGATGGGGTACCATGCCCTGGGCCCAAAGTCTAATTTTGGCATTCCCTGGGGACTTTGTTGTTCTTCCCCTTGCTGTTCTGTTGCTCACCCTTAGTGTTTTGCCTCAGTGTAGTGGGGTCAGATCGTGCACAATTCCCGCACTGTGTCTCCAATGTTGTCCCCCATAGCGCTGTGCATCAGTGAGGGACATCTTGTCTCGTGGTGGGGCCAGCCCTATGGTCCTCTCTGTGCTTTGACTGCTGCGGGAATATCGCCCTCAGGGCTTGGTAGGCCAGGGTGTGTTCCACTCTCTCTTCCTCTCCCTTCATTTGCTCCTGTGTGCTCTGATCAGACACGCCCCTCTCCCTGAGTTCTAGCTTCAGTGCTGTCCTCAGGAGAGAATTCTTCTGTGGGGCAAGGGGGCTGTCCACATACTTGGGATTGGAGCCGGCCTCTCAGACCTCTCTACTGGTTCCCTGCATTCACATCTTGGCGGAGGACTCCATCTTATTGGAAAATGAATCATTTGAGCCCTTGCATCTTGATCAGCTTTCCCCCAAATGCTATAATGTGCATATCCATCCTGTAGGAAGTTGGATCGAATTGATGTCATCAGATAGTCTGTAGGCTAAAGACTATCCATAGGATAGTGGCTGTCCTTCATTTTACGTACCCCGTAAGTCTCTGGCACATTATGACAGCAATTTTGGCCTTCTAATATTTGGGGGTTTTTTTGTAGCCCCACCTCTGCTCTTGAATGACATTGTGTAGATTGGGAGTAGAATGACTTTCAGGTGATATGAAAATGGGAGTGGCCTAGTTCATTGCAGTTAATCCTACAAGCTCATGAGGCAACACACGGGTGACTGGAGTCTAGGCCGACATGGACCCTGGGACTACATGAATTTAACAGAGAAGATTTGAGACCCCTCTGGAGTCCTCGTGGCCTAATGGTAATGCACTGGGCTACTGACTGCAAGTTCAGCAGTCGGAAACCCCCACTTGCTCCTTGGAAGAAAGGCAGGGCTTTCTACTCCCACACAGAGTTGCAGTCTTGGAGACTCACGGGCAGTTGTGCCCTGTCCCATAGGGTCATGTGAGTCAGCCTCGACTTGATGGCAGGGAGTTAGGTTTTGCTTTTCTGGAGGTTTGGGCAGTCACTCTCCTCCCTCTACACCTAAAGAATCAGAAGCTCTTTGAGGAGCCTGGAAGTAGCCTGCCTAATAGCAAGTTCCTTTCTTCACCTCACTGGGGTATGGATTCCCTGGTTTGTTTTCAGACTGATGATCAACTTAGATGTGACCTTTTGATTTCTCATTGCTTGTCACCTACTCAGATCAGCATTGAAGCTTATAACTATCTGCTATTGCTTTCGCCTACTTAAGCTGGAAGACTGCCCCCAAACTCAGAAATATTTCATAATACCAACTGCTTAGAGTTCTTGCTGTGTTAACCAATGGAACACTGAAGTTAAAAAAGAAACGTAGATCGTTTTTGTTTCTCTAATCTTTTTTTTCCCGCTTTCCAAGTAATTTGTGTTTTTAAAAATACATATGAATAGGCTCACTGCCATAATCTAGTTGTGCCGAATCATTTGGCTGTAACTTTAGTGGTGATGGAGACCAGATCTGTCAGCTGTGGGGTCTGTTCTGTTTGGATCTGACAGCTGGCTGCATTAACTATCTTGAGAGGTTTGCTTTGCACGGAGATGAGAGGGTGGGAGGGTGGGAGCCGCAATGGAAGAAAGCCATCATTTTATGTAATGTTCTGTGTATGTTTACTGATTCCAGGACTAACATTGTGCAGCTGTTTGAACAGCTGCCACTTGATTTCCTTTTGTGTACTGGTTTAGATTTATTAAGCTTGTCTTTAATACCTGCTCATTGTCTGCTCTTTAACTGGCATTCCTTTTTTATTAAATGTGTTTTCATATGTTCCGTCTCTCTTGGTTTAGGTCTGCTTTGATGATTTAACCATTTTCTAAGACAAACAATTTTGAAATTGTGCAGGTCAAATGGAAGGTGGCTTAAGCTTACTTTCTTATTATCCTGTAGCCTTATTATTTTAGCTAGACATTTGATAACTTGGCAAATAAATTATCCATAAAATTTAGTCAGAACTTCCCTTGTGTTAAACCACCATCTATGTTAACTTTTCTAACTCAGCAAACAGGTAATTTAGTCTACATATTCCAGACTAGCACAAAAAAATTTTGGAATAAGTAACTGAACAATGTGAATTTTGTTGTAACCACTTTCTCTGAATAGATCAGATAGCTAAAAGATTTACACACACAATAAAAAGATAAATATTATAATTACTTGGATCAATTATCAATTTATTAAAGAGCCCTGGTGTCAGAACAGTTATGTGTGGGCTGCTAACTACAAGGTCAGCAGTTCAATACCACCAGCTACTCTGCAGGAGAAAGATGGGCTGTCTACTCCCTAAAGAGTTATAGTCTCAGAAACTCACGGGACAGTTCTAGCCTGTCCTGTAGGGTCGCTGTGAGTCAGCATCGACTTGGTGGCAGTGAGGCTGGTTTGGGTTTCATCAATTTATTCAGTATTACTGTTCTTCTCTGTTTACAGGTGAGGGACCTATCTGTTGCTTAT